TATGGATAACCGCCTATGATTGCAATGTGCAAATTGTTCGCCATAAAAGAGAGCTGCCCTATTCCTAGTCCTCAACTCGGTATTTATGCGCAAACTCCCCAAGTAAATATTTACTTCTCTCCGCCTACTTTTAAGTAGCGCCAATTTCAAATTTCATAACCTATAACTCGAAAATAGGGTTAAAATTTTATTAAACCATTATTGTGTGCAATTACCATATGTAAACACAACCACGAACCATTCGGAAACTTCACCCAGACTTCTATTCGTTTCATGCAGATTCATATTCACCACATTGGCCCCATTCCATCTGCCGACTCCTATCACTATTGTCTGATCCTGTGATGTCTTTAGATAAGTATACTAGCTGGCCGAGGCCCACCCTCCCAAGACCAATCGCCGCCGAAGCGTTTCTTACCTGTTGACTATATCGCTTCGATTCTCCTACTAGCATCTTCACCGATCAGCGACGACAATTTGAATCTTCCCTTTTTTGTGCCCTCAACATTGTTTTCGGCACACAAGGATTCGGGACCTGCAGTCAATGGCCTACTTGAATGATTTCACTGCCAACTCAAATCAGCGCTCACGTGCCACCCAGTGCGTTCTGGTTCAAGGTAAGGTACTCCGTATCGTTCTGCTTGGAACCTGTAGCATTTTCACGGAGAACTTTCGAGCTTCCTCAGCGGAGTTTGTTTATGGTTACACCCTTCAACTTCGAAGGCAAACTTTGTAACGATTTAGAAACTTAAATTGCAATTGAAATAATATACCTATAGGGATTATATCTTGAATATAACTTGAAATTGGATAAGTTCGCATCAGCTATAATATAAAGTGATACATTACCAATGTTCAACGAAACACAATTAAATTAAAGACATTTACTGATTTTAAAATAAAATTAACATTGTCGAGTTGGAAATCTTTTAGGTGTTAAGTGACCCCCATATAACTTCGTGCCGCCATCATGCTTGCGTGCATCCAAATCAATGCAGTCATAGCGGTTAAAATGACGAGAACACAACCTTGTTTTTACATCATCGAATTCCGATAGTTCACATGCTTGTAGTCACCGATTCTTGTTGCTTTTTTCACTTGGGAATCTAATAACAAGTATGGCATAAATGAATTGATTGCAGATAATTGCATTGTAACTTACTTGTGCCATGAAACCGAAAAATCCACTTTCCCACAAGTACCTGCATTTCTTTATTTCTAAGTAATGAACACACTAAAATTGCCAAACATTAGGTATTCCTTTACAATTATTATTGTGTATCACTTACGTATACTGATTTATATAACTACGAAAGGCTTCTTTACTATTAAAATTAAACAAAAGTTCAATAACTCATAAACAAAACAAACTATTTAACCTCAATCCGTTATGTCAAACTGGAGTAAATGCTTGGTAAATAACACTACATAATAACAGGCAAGCGCATTAGCGCCTAGTTCCCAACTAATGACAGAAGCATTGTAAACAATGACAGAAGTATATTTCCATCCACTAACGTTGGCGATAGGCGTATCCACTCGTTTATCCATATACTTCTCTTATGGTGCCTACATGTTACTACAAGAGACACTTCCAGAACATACATAACCCCAAATCCAAAACCATGCAATTACTCCAATAATACTCTACCTACAATAACTTATTCCAGAACTGCAAAATGGATCACGTACATTTTAGGATGAATTGTAAAGGTAGAATTGCAAAGATTAAGTAGCCAAGAATAACATTTACCGAAAATTTCACTAACAACATTTGAAAGTTGAAACAGGTCTCCTACCTCTTAGTGATTGTCATAGCCAGCTGATGTCAAAACCCTAGCCTCAAGACGATACACCCCTGCACTTCTTCGACTAGACAACCATAAGCGATGTTCTACAAATTCCGCTGAATAGTGGACCGCTCCAGCAACTTCACTCTCTACCGAAGGAATGCTATCACAAACTGAAACCTATACTTCTTCACGCAACAAATGCCCCTCGCCCGCAAACTCATAATCACAGACATTTGCAAGCGGACAATGCTATCCATAACTAGCTGGCGATGAGAAGAGTGAGTACACAGCCTGCCCAGTGGCGGACTGGGCAAGTGCCCGGTGGGCCGGTGCGGTCAGCGATCGTACGGTGTTGGGTGTCCCCCCCAAAAAAACTACATTTGTAATCGATTTTGGAATAAGTGCAAATGCTTGTTTAGGGGGTTACTTTGGAGAAAAATTTCAGGTATAACCACCCCCCCATTATGTGGTGCTGTTCGGTTGCCCGGGCCAGTTCAATTTGCCAATCCGACACTGGGCCTGCCCCTGCATTTTAAGCAATGAAAGTCTTAACATTATCACAAGTTTCAGAGCGGTGACTGAACGCGAATATGGCAGTGGAAAATGCATGTACAGTGTGGTCCAATTTTGATGGGATTAAATGGGTAACTTTCTTATTAGCGCAGATAAACGAAAACAGTTTAGGTACTCGTGATTTTTTCATGCTTATTCCATTACCGTTGCCAGAAATAAGCTGCCGTCTTTTGTTTTTTTTTTCTATAGAGGAAAACTGAAAAATGACCGATTTCGTCAATTTGCTGTCTCCTTTATTTTTGAAGCTAGAACAAAATGGCATAAGCATGTTCAGGCACTTTTTGACGTAGAAATCAATGCCGTCAGTTGTTTTGTTTCTAGTCTTTTTAGTAGGTAACTGCGTTGTAACTCAATGTTTTAAAAGATTTATTGTTTTTATAGAGTATAATATTATACCTACCTACCCATATCATAATTATTTTTAATAATAAGTTTTTTACAATAAATTTTTCTTATTAATACATCTTGTCTTAAAGTAAATAACAAGAAATGCCCAACTATAATTTCCATTTAAAAAATCAACTTCTAGTTGCGGCGCGGTTATTAAAACGTTTAGAAACAAACGACTACCGGCATTGAATCCTACGTTAATAAGTGCCTGAATAATGCTAAGGCATTTTGATCTAGCTTCAAAAATAAAGGAGGTACAGCAAATTGAAAAAATCGGTCATTTTTCAGTTTTCCTCTATAGGAAAAAAAAGACGGCAGCTTATTTCTGCCAACGGTACCGGAATAAGCATGAACAATCACGAGTACCTAAACCGATTTCGTTTATCTGCACTAATAAGAAAGTTACCCATTTAATCACATCGAAATTGGACCACACTGTACAGGCCATCTAAATAAAAAATTGTTTACTCGAATTTTGTAATTCCTATAGTATAGCGTAGAGTTACACTAGTTTAGATAATTGTAGGAAATGCAATCCCGCAGCAAAATCTCAATCCCGGTATTGGCGGGATTGTTAGATGTTAATCCCGGGGGATCCCGCAAAAATTTAAATAAATTGGCAAATAAGCAATTCTGTGCGGTTAACTTCTGTATTAAAATAAATCGCTAATTCACAATATTTAACAAGAAAGTACCTTCAGCCTAACTTAGAACTCAAAAAAACCTCACCTGTACAGCACGCCAGTTTCAAAATTTGGTTTTGCGCATGCGCAGTGCCAAATTTCTTATTTATGGAGGGATTTAAATGAAATTTGATACGCCACTTGGAATAAAACCAAATTTAACGCCAGTTTCAAAATTTGGTTTTGCGCATGCGCCGTGCCAACTTTCTTATTTATGGAGGCATAGCTATAGCCATACCCAGGAGCTCGTTTGCTATATTTGTTTAATTTATTTTAATTTCGATCTAGTTATCCATGAAAATCATAAAATGACTGTTGTATGTATAGCGGACTGGGGTGGTAGACCAGCCATGGCTGAAACCCCGCCCACTCAGCTTATGGTTGAAATTTGATCTCTTTACTAGTATAATGAAAATAGCATATATAAATAATATAATTATCTATTTACTTCTGTATTTAATATTAAAAGTGATGTCTTGATACTGTAAAAACAATAATTTCTATATTTTTTTAATAAATTTAACTGATTTTCTATTAAGTACCTACGTATAAAGGTAATTATACCTTCATACGAACATTGGTAATCATAAATTGAAAAAATTCATTTTATAAAATTGTAATTCTTGTATACTCTCTCTGATATCTTGTAAGGCCCTATGTTCCAACGTTTTTGTAGGTGCATTTTTATAAACATCTCTATTCCATATTCGACATAGTTCCTTAATTGAGGAAACATCAACTATCCTATAATGCAAATAACTATCCACTCTCGGCATGAATTTCCTTAAGAATAAACGGTCCATATACACAGAATTACCAGCCAGAGGACTACATTTTTCCACTACATGATTTGATATAAAGTTTAATAATTCTGTTTCGGCAATTTCTGCTGTAATTTTTGAATTTAACGAAGATTCTGTTAAACCAGTCTAAAATCTGCCATTATTATAATGAAACGAATTAAATGTTTATCACCTTATTATGTTGCTTTAAGCACCAGCCATTCATATTTTCTAAAATGTCCTTTGGTACATTTAAAATTACATTTGGTCCTTCAGCAACAACATTTAAATTGCCATCGGTGACTATACAAGCAATTTCCATTATACGATCCTTTTCAATATCCAGCCCAGTCATCTTGGGAGATTAATACATAATAATAAAAGTGAAACTACAGATGAAGTTGCTTACTTCCATGTCAATCCAAACTATTCGGTGAGACTGAAGTGGAGAAATGGTGCTCATTGGTCGTTTTAACGAACCTGTAAAGCAACAAAGATTAAAAAGAACTACCAGAAAAGTAATAAGTACCACTATTCACAAATGAAAGTAGACCTTTAATGGTATTTCTCAACATCATTAATAGGTTATTAGGGCTAACCTCCAACACGTTTGTCTAAATCGTCCACGCCATACGCGCATGTCTAAAAGGCTCCATACACAGACTTGCAGATGTGTTCCACACTGACTCCCTGTACTGCGCAAACGCAAGCGCGCTAAAATTTGAATTTGCTTTAACGTGCCAGCGTTTGTTTTGTTTATAGTACCAGTTCCTGCTGACTTCCATATTACAAACCAAATGTCGCTGTATTTTCGGAAAGAATATGTTCTTCTTCTCGAATTAAAGCCTTCGGCCACTACTGTGAATTCCAGTTAAATAGCGCCAACTTGAAAGCAAACCTCTACTTTAGCTATCAGTCATGATCCTTGTAGTCTGGTTTTTTGTGATTCGTTCAGCACCGGACTCTCTCTTTACCATAGGTCAATGTTGGTCTGTAACGTTATTGCTTTGATAAGTAATAGTATATTAAGTATGGAGAACGGTAAGGGATTTTTTCCGTTCGAAGACAATTGTTTGGAGGAGGAGCGAAGCGACGACTCCAATTATTGTCTGAGAACGGTAACCCTTAACGTTCGACGTGCTTATAACATTTTTTGCGCGATCGAAATTAAAATTATGCAACCAATATAAATATGCACTAAGAAATTAAGAGCAGAATAAATCGAAATGATCGAAGTGGTATGGTGTACATCACTAGGTAACCAGTTTATTTGTCAAAATTGAAATTAATAATTTCATAAAATTGTGCATGTGTCTGATGTAGTTTGCTAGCTTTGCACTTCCTTTATGACTTTATGAGCGTCTTTCTATAGGAAACAACAGCATAAATTGTACGTTTAATGTACCTAACAATAATTAAAGATTAAATGTAATGTAAGACTGTTCATTTTGAACTGATTTAAAAAGGCATCGGTAAGTATTTTTGCTGTTCTGTTTTTAGATCGGTAAGTAATTTTGGCGTCGTCGTAATCATAGCAACTGGTAAATGCTACGTACTGTCATGGAAACACACATGGTAAATAGTCAGAAATGACCGATCGCGCAAAAATGGTAAATGCTACGTACTGTCATGGAAACACACATGGTAAATAGTCAGAAATGACCGATCGCGCAAAAAATGTCATTAACTCTTTCTAATTAACTATTACAGTACTTACCGAAGCAGTTTCCTAATATCGCCTTTGGCATATTCTATGACCATTCACTCCAAATGTAGATAACAACAAAATTCATCTTGATAACATGGCATTTTCATATACCTACTACATATAATAGGTAAGCAGGTAAGCTAAATTATCTTCAATTATAACGTTTGCAGGTTATGTGTATATTATTTACCCCTTACACTTGACAGCTGTACACAAATTCAAATTTTAGCGCGCTTGCGTTTGCGCAGTACAGGGAGTCAGTGTGGAACACATCTGCAAGTCCATACACAGTACTCTTGCAAAGTTAAGCTAAAACGCCTAAATCTCCTTACAATCTGCGCATGGAAAAGAAACATCAAAGTTGCAATTTGTTATTAATTAAAATGTAGGCACAGAACAGTGAATGTAGGTTAGGGTGAATAATGTAATAAATTGTTTTCATCACAGGCTATTATAATGAATAAACATATTCGTAATGTACATTTAAAGTCGCACACTTTGAGGTTGTTATACCAAGAACCATATGTTTCTCAGGTTTCTCTGCAGCTATAAAATCCGAAAAGGACAGCATAAGACCCATGTTTACAAATCGTAACCAAATAGGTACCTACGAACCTACACAGTTAGTGTATGGTTGGTTGCCTAAGTGGCACTAAGCATCCGATTATCATTGTCGGGATCTTACATTACGATGATGATAGCAAAGAGTCTGGTTACTCTTTGATGATAGTTTGCTTCTCTTTGGTCCCACAGACAGTTTCTCTCGCGAATTAAATCAATTAATTTTTCAATATCCATCATGAGCAACTATTCACAAACACAATCGTTTACAACCTGCGAATATCCTGAATAGGCATAAAATTCTCACCAAAATAACAAAATGGGATCGGTATAGTGTGCGAAGGTCCGTTTGATATCGTACCTTAGAATAGTTCGTCCCTAAACCTATATACGTGAATTTCTAAAATAATAAGCCCCGATACAGCCAAATATCGAAGAATCCTCAGTATTACAATCACTTTTAACGACAATTTATTTTAATCTTACATAATACCTACTTACATTTTATAGTTAACAAAAATGCATCAAATTCTTGTCTTGGTCATTGAGATAATGCTCTTGATCTTTTTCCCAACGATCTTGGTGCATAGAGCACGATTTTGACATGGTTTGATCAAAATCCATGTGGCCTCAAAATAGTATATTGAAAGACAAGTGTTACAATGCGACCTATTGTAATATGACTATCTTGTGGCACGAGTGGCGACGCGAAGCGTAGCCACGAGTGTCCGCAAGATAGGAGTATTACAATAAAGCATTGTAACACGCGTTTTTCATACTATTTTTTCTATTTCGGTGCTTTAATTTAATTAAAAAAATCATTATCAGAAACTATAGGGAACATTAGAACTAACATGTTTTATGTTGGGAACACTTTTTATGCCGTTAAGTTTTAGGTTGGCAGCGTAGTAAGACTGACATTTTGAAGTTCAAACATGGAAGTACCCAACGAAGTACCTACTTGTACTAACTAGTAACTGCCAACTTAAGAGATGAGTTACCAAAAAAAACGACTATAATCACTGTCTTTGTACAACTGTTTTCGGCCGAAAACAGTTGTACAAAATCATCATTGTGACACCGAAATAGAAAAAATAATTTTACATCTTTGAATCACACACATGCGTGATGCGGTTATCAAATATGCACGTGATGTACTCTTTCAGTATCAAGATAATGCATTTGAAAGCTCCAAATTCGTGTGTAAAGAATAATGTTGAGTACATTTTGCTCTAAAACTTTTGACCTCTATCACAGAGAAGAGTTATATTGAATTGTTACACGTCTAAGAGTCATAGGCAATAATCTAGCTAAAGTCCGAACTCGATACATGGCCTAGGGAATGAAATATGTTGATTTCTATTATATATTGAGCGCGCAGTTTTCCCTATTCCCGATTCACTCAAAAACTTTTGTTCCTGTTGAACTTGCTTTCTGAAAATCAAAAGTGTCCGTCCTTTATGTCCAAAGTACCCCTACCCGTACACCAAATTTCAAAACAATTGGCCACTTTTAAAAAGAGTTAGAGCGCACACGGACGGACGGACGGACGGACGACAATACAAAACTATAAAGAATCTGAGGGTCCTTAATAAATCATTGACATTTAACAGCTAATGACACTTCGGCAGTTTAGTTAGTAACATAAACTACCAGCTTACAAACATCGCCAGTCGTTTTATACAGTGTGTAAAGCGATGGGGTATACAAGAGGGATTTTTTTTAAATATTCATTTATGAAGAAAATTTATTCTTCATGATATTTTTTGCTTGCTTTGAAAGTACCAATAACGTTTCGATTCTTTGTGGTTTGATAGCAATACGCTATCTTGATTATAATGTAGAAAGATAACTTTCAATAAATTCAATATTTTTCCCGATTTCTATAAATAATTGTAGATTATCGAAACGTTATTGGTACTTTCAAAGCAAGCAAAAAATATCATGAAGAATAAATTTTTATCATAAATCAATATTTAAAAAAAAAATTCCCTATACCCCCATCGCTTTTATATGTTTCAGCCAAAGGTTTCAGCGTAATACCGACTCGTGTTTTAACCAATCACAGTGAAGGTCAAAGCTTCCCTATACTTTCTACCGCTAGGTACGCGCTACCTAATGATAAATGAATACAGTTTTTATGATACAGTTAACAGTATACTTATTAAAAACATCAAAACTTCACCTGATTGAAAAGATTACCTATAATATGATTATGAACTACCTACAACAGTTTTTTCATCACCAATTGATCACACAGATAATACTTGTGATTTCAGAGCCTAATGCCCCGCAAATCATACTATTGATTAGGCCACTAGCGCTGAATGCAATCAATAACAATGTTAAATAGGTAGGTATAGAAATAACTAAACGTAAAAACTACCCTTTACCATTAGTCATGGTTTGAGTGTCGAAAATAACGTCGTTTTCTTCATCATCTTTAACGAGTGGTGTGCATTTTACCTACTTGCTTTGTAAAGAGAAGGAGACAAGAATCAATTTATGTACCTTAAGGTCTCGAATCCTTCGGTATGGACATGTTGTTGTGCCGCTTCTGATAAGAAATTAACTGCTAAGGAAGCTCAATATAACTGGCGATATTTAACTACAATGTGCATCAGAAAGCAACAAATTCATCCTACTACTGAAGGGTAAGTAAGTGACCTATTGAATTGACGTAAGCTGTAAGCATTCACAGTACACAAATAATCGATTACAATAGGTATAAATAATATTAGCTGTATTACATACCTATACCGCGGTTTGGGTTTCATTGCGGATATTTCGTTTGCTTCCCTAAAATTATGCTTGACTGCTGTAACTTTTACAAGTGAGGTAATAAGATGTGTATTTTTAGGTACTATAGTCCAATCAAGATGTACATCCGTGCTTGCAAAAGGTCCGGTCGTTCTGAATTTTTTATATGTTGTTAGGACCTAAACCAACAATAAAAAACCAGATTTGCAATTTCCAAAGGTGCGATCGGCGGTATATCCAAAAAACCATGAAATTTTCGGACTTTTTTCAGTTTTTACTCAATATCTGGGTGAAGGAAGGGTCTGATCGGTATAGTCATTCTATAATCTTTTAAAGTAGACTAAATTTGCTACAATTTGACACTAGAGGTCTATACAGCCATTGGTTCCCAAGATACAGTTCTTCGAATATAGGAATTTTTTAATGATTTTTTTCAAAATGACCATTTTTTTTTAGAAATATCTTCTAAAATACGAATCCCACGTCAAATATTATATGAAATTAAGTTGTAGCAAATTTCATTCCCTTTCATTTGAGACCAGACTGGTGACTGTAGGCCCAGCCTTTTTCTCAAAAACGGTAGGTAAAACATAAGACATATGTGGGTTTTGAGGAGAAATGCAAATAAACAGTTCTTACGTTCTTTTATGGTTTTATTTATTGAGCAATTACAATTATTTATTTTTTTTATTGTAAAAAAATTGCTAAATTACCTACATTTACACAAAAAAGGAAAGTGATACCTAATTCAAGTAGGTATTATGTTTTGATTGCCAAATCATGCCTTTCTTTTTATTATTGATGGGCCGGGCTCGCTCGAAGATGGTGTCTCGATGGCTGTAATGGACGCTGGGAGAGTCGCCCAGTCTGCAGTCGGGTCGTCTTCATCGTCCGAGCATTGCAGCTCCACGTCCGGGACGTTCATGCACGAATTGCCATCGCATGACTAGCAGAGGACTGAGCATTGAAGCCCAGCATTTCTGCACGATCCGCTCCCAGAGCACCCTTACTTGCATTGACATGAAATTTTTCGGAGAAGGGCAGGAGGTGCGGGATCCATGGTGGTGGGAATGGGGGTGAGTTCCTGAGAAGACGTCTTCCGCCCCCAATCTCACGGCTTGTGGGACGGAGTCTGGTCGAAGGAAGACTTCCACTTGCTCGGCAAGTAGTTCGCTCTTGCTCAGGAGTGTGCTGATTTTGGTTTTTCCTTGGCCAAACGGTGCTGAGGTGGTATCGCAGCCGGTAAACGCGTGGGTGAATAGTACCGTCCCTGGTGAACGGTGGGAGTCCTGGTGCTTGTAGGAGGTCGTAGAGTAGTGAGAGCAACCACATTATTGCTACAACTTAATTTCATATAATATTTGACGTAGGATTCGTATTTTAGAAGATATTTTGCAAAAAGTGACCATTTTGAAAAAAAATCATTAAAAAAATCCTGTTTTCGAAGAACTGTATCTTGGGAACCAATGGCTGTATAGACCTCGCTCTAGTCTCAAATTGTAGCAAATTTAGTCTACTTTAAATGATTATAGAAGGACTATATCGATCAGACCCTTCCTTCACTGAGATATTGAGTAAAAACTGAAAAAAGTCCGAAAATTTTTGTATTGTAAAATGAGTTGTTTAGCCGCAATTCGTCATTTTTTCAAAAAGTAGATGTCCAGTAAAAATTCAATATCGCGGTAATAATAAAACTTAGAAGGACGTGACTTTCAAGTGGCACTAATCATGAAATGTACTAATTTACGCCGAATGGCTACAGTTAAACTTCTTTTGTGTTAAAAGATATCACTCCGTCAATATTCAAAATCTCAATCAAAGGTAACTTGATTTTTTTAAATCCAGAGATTTCAATGTACCTACCACACGGTTGCATTCAGTAGTTTCTTTCTTTTTTCTCCTCTTCAGATTTAATTCTTTCTTCATTCCGCGCCTGTATTTATCCGCAAAGTGTGTACGAACCATGTGCGAACGCGGAAGTGCGTTTCAACATTGTGTACCAAGTTCAAAGATGTGGCCTTAATTCAAAGATCGATGAGTGTCAAGTGAGTATCCACAATAATGCGAACGACAGGCTCAGGGTAGTCAGTACGTAGCTTTATACTTTGTATTATATTGACCAGGGGCCGGTGATCAAAGGTAGGGGTGAAAATCAATTTTTATTATCCCATACTTAAAGAATTACAGAAACTTGTAGATGGCTTTATAAATTATTTGTGTTGAAAACTACCCGGCATTAGTCTTTCAAGAACAAATTTTCCGATGGCGAATGTCGTGGATTTGTCACATAGCTCGGAGGCCAATTTACCAGAGCATTTTCCTGGGCTTGTTGCAACTAAAAGTGACATTAATGAATGCACCTAAAATCAATGTAGTGCAACAAACATAAAGTGACAGATAGCTCTGTATAATACGAACTGGCTATAATAGCTACTATCTACTATATGTATATATGTACGATCACCGACTAAAGTAATGTTAATCGGAAGCTTACTACTTACCACTTAGGCAACCAACCATATACACTATCTAAAATGGCAGCGTTGAAGTGTCACTTTTCCGGCGGGAATTCGTGTGGGATGGGCCGCACGGCGTCGCGCATTGTCATCGTTGTTTCGGCGTTTCTTCGTCGCTGCTTGGTAGGTACAATTGCAAAATTGGTAAAACCGGATTTTATCTAGAAGTTTTCAACTTTTGTTTTTTTGTGTGCCAAAAATCGTTGTATTCGTAATAAAAAATGCTACTCAATAGTCAATACGCTCTCTCAACACTGTCTTGTAGAGTTCTAAAAGTGGCAATGAGAAAATGTTTAATTTTTTGTATCTCAAATAACAAAAAAAAATAAAGACGAAATCGCAAATTTCGGTTTTTCTGGCATATCTTCGGAAGCAATGGGATTTCCTGGCTTTCTTTAAAGAATAATAATAATTCTTTAATTGACTACCGACGTATCTTCTATGGCTTCTGAAATCCTTATCTTGGACACAGTGTATAGGACCACAGCCGTCCATAATTACAAGCCATGCTGAGAAGTTTGGCAACGTTGTCCGACAGTCAATCGGTGGGCCGATGTAAGTTTTCTTCGACCGTTATTTTTCCATCCAAGTCTTGTTGCTCCTGAAAAATTGCATTTTTCCTCTTTTCTGTGTTTCGCCTTGCCGGTTTTAATACAGAAGAAAGATACTTAGGCAGCTTACAATTGTACATATACAGGGTGTCCCTAAAAGATCTGTACAACGCGCTACCAGGGGTTCTTGGTATCAATTTAGGACGATTTAACCCAACTTACCTCTATCCAAAAGTGCTTCGGTAAGGCGCTATCTACCGCCAAAGGTTAAAAAAGAATCTTTATTTTTATTTTATCGGAAAATGGTTTTGCCGATTAAAATGAACGGGATGTGAATGTCTAATGTAAAAAGGGTCTTTGTGATATCGTTTTGATTGTAGTTGTTATGTAGGTGGTAAAATACTGACCATCCGCATCTGAAGAGGTCTATCTAAAACTTTTTAACTACTATTTTGACGGTTCTGAATTTTTAGACACTGATAGACAGTTTACTTGCAAGCATTTTTTGTCTCTTGATGAATATCTCTATCTGTGATGGTTTACGAAAAAAAAATAAATTTAGGCATGATGAATGGCATGCACCATACATGCGATTGTTCCTCAAAAACCATAAGTGCAAGCAAGAAGTAGGCTATGAAACCGTAGTGCATGTAACGTAGAATAAACGAACACAACAGAGTAAATCAATGTAATGTATTAATTTAAACTACTAAATGAATTATTATCAGCTGAACTCAAAGCTTCATCTCTTCCTCTCTTCAAAAAAAAACTGTTCCGTTCTTTATTACATCTTCAAAATGACGCATAATAACATCATCAATTCATCAGTCACATAAAGATAAATTACAAATAATTGTTTGCAAATTAGTTCCGACGCCGACCTAACATCTCAGAATTTTAGTTTAAGTTAGAATAGGCATAATTTCACCTTGCTATTCTTATCTTTTTTCACGGCTCCAATGGAAGACCAATGGTAGTTTAACTACTAATTTGAATTGGCACCGTGTGATTCCTCATAAATACGTACTACTAAACTTCTTCTTCTTCTTTTCCTTTTCTAGTTCTTATCTTGCCATTTGATCATTAATTTAGAAGTTTTTCTTTATTGTTTATGAATAACTATAATCGTTTTTTTATATTTTGATATGTGAAATTTTGATATGAGACCTATGGGGAATAAAGGCTATTATTATTATTATTATTATATTATTATTATTAATAAATAAAAAATAAAACTGATTTTATAACAGAAATCCTACATACAATAAAATAAATAAACGTGTACGTTTCTTATTAAACCTTGAAGACAAAACGAAATTAGCAGTAAAATGGTTTTCATCGCAATGACCGTTCAAAATGTTCACCATTAACTGCAAGGCAGTGGCATAACCTATCCCAAAAAGCTTGAAATAAATTAATTTTTTCTATATGTATGCTAAGTGTTACGTCATTGAAAAGAGAAAAAAAATCTTTATCAAAAAAGCCTAATGAAAGTGTGCATTGCTATTTAAAAAAATCAATTGTTTTTCGTAATTCATTTGTTTTCTGAAATAAAAAAAAAAAAAAGATATACTATATTCCATACATAATGGGCACCCTGTATGTCATTTCCCAGCCTTTGAGCTCGAGTGGGTTGCACTTGCAACATCCTGTTCTCAACTTTCAGTTATAGAAGTTCCAAATTTCTTGTGGTCCTAGCAGGTGGCACCCAATGAAGGAAAATATAAGATGTTTCGTATTTTCTCTGCTAATTGCAACAGAGGCATTTATTACGTTAGGTACGTGTAGTTTTATCGTTGAGTGAAGGATTAATTACTCAATGGTATTATCTTTACGGGCCCGGACGCCGGACCCTAGTTGATCACACTCATGATACAAAGAATACTTTGTATCTATCATGGACCACACTAACATCGCTACGGCGCCGTAGATACACTGGGTGGATGCGGGGCCGATGTTAGGCTCCACGCGACCCGTGAATATTTTTTGACCGGGCCCCTACAAATCTACAATTAAAATTTTTTTGTCGCATCACTTTTTCTTAAACTAGTTATTTTCATTCTTCACTTCTTGGATTTGAAAGTATAACATTTGAATAATTTTCTTACAGACACAGTAGTTTTCATAATTTTTTATGAATTGTTATAATTCAAATAACCAAATTACAATTTAACTCTGCGGACTAGCAAGTGTTGAAATCACTTGATGAAAATTAATTTCTCTAGCAAATTGAGATCTTGACCCATAGTCGATCTCAAAAGGTTTTACTCTAGCTAGTAGACGGCATTTTCCACTGTGATGTAATTAGGAAATTTTGCGCAATGGTATGGTTTTTTAAATCTTCTGCCGCGAATTGCATGTGCGGATTTCTGTTATAAAATACAATTGAAAATCTGGTTCAAAATTTCTTTGGTCGGACCCCCACAACATGGCCGGGCCCCAGGGCATTTGCCCCAGCGTACCTCCCCTTATCGGCGACCCTGGGTGGATGTGATGCTATTTAATATGGTGGCGATAAACTGAATTAATTTATCAAATTGTCTATTGGAATATATAGACTCTATCCGTTCATATCCATATGTCTATCCACTTCTATTGCTTGTTGTATCAAATCGTTCAAAGTTGAATAAATTTTAGATGTATTTCTACTTCTGTGACGAGCGGATTATTCAGTACGTGCAGAGGAAGTAACGTAGATATAGTTGTATTGTAGGGCTCATAATGTTGTATCACATGGACTACACAATTGTCAATTATGTGTAATTAGCCATCCGTAACAATGTTGCCGGAAATCCTCACCCAATTCATATATTTTACAGGTAAACTGTAGGTATACGTTTTGAAAAGTAGTGCAATGCGAAAGGTCTTGTGTGTTGTATGTGTAAAAAGATGCAAATGAACGCTAGTGTTTTCGCAATACTATAGCACAGTATATACTATGACTATAGTACGGATATAACGATGGATTTATTTCGTAACAACGAATCATGCCGTGATAAATATAGAATAATTAAATTTAAAAGACCAACTTTTCTTCGCATTTTTAGAGTTCGTATGCCAAATACTATTAAACCTCAAGAATGTGAGAAATTGGTTCGAAATAAAATGGTTTATGAAATTATGAGAAGTAAGCACAAGCAAATTGCAGGATGTAGGTAAGCACATTCGATTTAGTGATCATGTCAAAAAAGGAGACGGTTTTAGTATAGGCATAGAGTAAATGGTACAGGGTACACTGTACCTGCATCTTGTACTGTCATAATAAGCATATATATAAGAGAAGTATATAATTATATATGGTCATAAGTATCTACATAGGTCGGAGCCACCGTGGTCGGAGCTTATATCGTATTGTAAAGAACGAACTTTACAATGTGATAATTATGCTTGCATCTCGCTTACGCCACGTCAGTAGACTTGAACAATTATTTCATTTGTGTCATCCAATTCATTAATTTTAGATGCGGGACTGTCACTGTCATTGCAGTCCTTTTGTTCAAATTTAGATCAATGCATTCCGAATTAGTCCAGGAAACGAAACTTAAAAGGACATACTTAAATCCTGTCATTTTTTTCAAAATGCATCGATTTATATGAAAATTTGGGATTAAGTTCAACTTACCGTACACTTCAAAATCTATATGCCGATGGCCGCTCTTCATTTTTTACGGGTGAAAACTACCCCTTTTTTTCCGAAATCCATACAGCTATATTGCTGTGTGCACTGGTCCGTAGGCCAGAAAGACCGTACACAAAACACCAAAAACAAAAACCTAGCTAGCTCTTTACCTTCATTTATTATTACGGCACAAAACTTCTCCCCAGCACAGAGGAAAAATTCGACTCTGTTCTCAGTTCTCGTTAACCTCCCAATGAACAAATTATATGACTGTTGGTGTTACCTTTGAATATAAAATATGTGTGACCTAGTTTTATAAAATATACAGGGTGACAATTTGAAAACTTACCACCCCTCATATCTTAGTAAATAAACGATATATTTAAAAAAATCAAAATCCGTTTCGGTAATTCGGAGGGGGAATCACAATGACATAGTCGGCAACGCACCCCCTCCAACCCCCTGCGCCCCAGCCACCCCAACTTTTAAATCTTAAATAGTGACCCCCCATGTGTGATACGTCGTTGGAAAGCTGCTTTCCAACCATACCAAATAGCATTACATTTAGGTTAGTAATTATCGTGCAAATCAAAAAATAAACATGGAAAATCGTATTTAACTTGAACTTCCAAAGCCGACTTGACAGCACTCATTTTTGATCGCCAGTTATAATCTATTCTCAAACTCTTGTCGAACCTTTTCAAATGTTGGTTTTGCAATATTTCGACATTCTTGAATTATTCTCTGTCTTTGTTCGTCTATGTTCGCCGGTTGCGTTTTAAATACGACAGATTTCAAATGTATCATATTAGTTTATTTTTTGATTTGCACAATAATTACTAACCTAAATATAATTCTATTTGGTATGGTTGGAAAGCATTTTTTCAGAGCTTTCCAACGACGTATCACACATGGGGGGTCACTATTTAAGATTTAAAAGTTGGGGTGGCTGGAGCGCAGGGGGTTGGAGGGGGTGCGTCGCCAACTATGTCATTGTGATTCCCCCTCCAAATTACCGAAACGGATTTTGATTTTTTTAAATATCTCGTTTATTTACTAAGATATGGGGGGTGGTAAGTTTTCAAATTGTCACCCTGTATACAAGGTGGTGACTTGCGTAACGCATCATAGGGATTTCAATGTAAAATTCATAACATACGATTATTGGCTCCCCAAATTATTTTAGAGCAAAAATGTATTAAGGTTTTTTGTAGAAAAATTTTTTTTACGCCAATCAACCGTATTAGTTTTTAATTTTTTGCATACTAAAGACGGAAAATTGGAAAAATAAACCCCCATCTTTTTCAATAATCTGCGATGCCATGGAATTTTCTAAAACAAAAAGATAGGTATCCAGTTATCAATTAGCAGCAGTTCGAAATGGATTTTATGTACCTATTGCAGCATATTGCAATTAATGGTGACTTATTCGAACATTTATTGTAGATTGTTATATTAGAAAACCGTTTTTAGTAATTTGGTCTTTCTTTATGTTATGTTGAATTCGCTGTTAAATATAATACTTTTTGATAGAATTTGATTTGTTTTATAGCAGACATTCCATGGCATGACGGATATTGGCGTAGTTTTTGTATTATAAAATTCCATGGCATCACAGATTATTGAAAAAGATGGGGGTTTATTTTTCCAATTTTCCGTCTTTAGTATGCAAAAAATTTAAAACTAATACGGTTGATTGGCGTAAAAAAATTTTTCTACAGAAAACCTTAATACCTCTTTGCTCTAAAATAATTTGGGGAGCCAATAATCGCATGTTATGAATTTTACATTAAAATCCCTATGATGCGTTACGCAAGTCACCACCCTGTATAGCTGTTACGTGGTTATATATAGTGCAAATTAAGTGTTATAGTGGGTCTAATGGTAACTTTGTTTTGTGAAGGTGATATTACACCCCTAGAAGTAACTAAATCCCATATGTTATAATTGGTGTGATGTAAACGTTTTGAAGATGACCTTACCTTTCGGTAATTGTGACTTTTAGTGCCGTGGAGAGGTTTTGTAATTGATTATTCACTGGCTTGTGGCTTATACATCACTTAACAGTTTGAATTTTTATTAATATACCTACTCTTCAAGTTACTTCAATAAAACTATGGTGCTATTGGTACCTAATTTGTGATAGTTTTATATATAATAAAGTGATGTTATATTACTATAAGTCCTAAGAGTAATTTATTAAATCATGGTAAGTTATATTACAGTAATTATAAAACCTTTTAAAGAAAAATGGATGCCGCCTTATGAATGAATGCCAAAGGCGGCGGTGAGAAAGGGTACTGGACAATAAAATCCACGACAGGATCGAGTAAACATATGTCAACTATGTAACTGGGGGGTAGTTTATATGGTAACAAGGGAAATCACCAATTAAATAGGAGCTAATTGTTGGTCAGAACTCATTATTAAGATGCGACAAATCTACTGTAAACTCACCTTTCATTAGAAACGTCCGTCTGTAATTCTACGCATAAGGGGTTGGCATGGCAGCATTCAGTCTGACTGGTCGTCTTCCGCGCTCAAGGGTCATGTAAACAAATATCGCGACTGCTTAACCGCAATCCTCGCCAATTAGTTAAGTAACTCACCGGGGGGCGTTAGCCCCGAACTGTCCCTAAGCTCTCCTGGATCTCCGAACACTGCGGTTAGCGATTGGGGTTGAATGCGTCGTTGAGGATGACTTGGGAACGACATCCAGGTCGAGCTCACTCCCGAACTGTTTGTGTTAACAATGAGGCCTTTATGTTTCGTATTGGGTCGACACCATGATCTACTCGAGTGAGTAGATCTCTCAGCGGTATAATCAACGGGAGCTACCCGCGGGACCGCGTCATAGGCACATGCACATAATGCACTCTAAAAGCCTAGGAATATATCCGGATATCTGCCAAGGGTTTTACCATACCATAGCCCAACAACAAGTGGCCTGCACAATACACTCACCACCTGCAGGTGGGAGACACTCACATTAAAGGGCTATTACGCCAAACTCACTAATACGTACGTAAAGAAAAGTACATAATTCTTTACAAAGAAACACAATGGGTTTTTATATTTGTTCCATAAATTTAGTTACACAAGAAGCGCTACGCTACTGGTAAAAATTGACCAGACCAAATTGAATTATTTTGGGGTGAAATACTGCAATACATTGCGATGGCGCTTTAATTTTTCGAAGTATAATAATATTGCAGTTGACCTTGACGAAGTGGCGATGGCACATTAATTTGGGTCTAACCGTTACGAAAACAAAGCTTATGACGTACGCACTTTTTAGTCAATAGGTGATAAGGAAATGGCTGTCATGCCGGTCATCACTCAAACTCAAATGACATGTTCACATTCCTTTTCGTAAAAATACTATAAGAAGCCTAACTAACCTCTTATGGAGGAAAGCGCGACAGTCTCTGCATCTTGTACTTGTACAACTCATTATGATGAATGTTATTTAACGCCTTTTTTCTAATTTATCTTGAAATGTGAGAATGTTTTTAAAAATGAACATGAAATTTTAAGAAATCGACCTGCATAAAATATGTAGGGGATAATCACATTAGTAGGTATTTTATTTGGTCATAAATATTTAGTGATAAGTGATTACGTTTGCACATGTAAACAAAACATAAACTTTGTTGTCCACAAAAATAAATAAACCCTACGCCACTGACTAACGTTTATTAGTTTCGTCCCCTCAACGGTCAAAATGTCCGAGATGTTGGATCAAAAGTTCAAAACCATATAGGTACTAGTATCATGGATGAAAACAAACGTTCACGTTGTTATAGCGTATGCGTACTCTATCTTTATTTCTTATACTCTACTCTGGGGGTTTGTACCTGAACGTATTGTGGCCGCACAGACACGTTGGAAGTATGGGTCAGAGGGGGCGAGTCGCCCCCTCAGTTTTTACGCAAGGGGGGCCGCGCTCCCTCTAAGAATGAGTAGATAAATCATTCAAAGGTGATCAACACATCTTCTACTCCATGTGCATGCAGAAATTACAAAAAGTGGAGAAGTAGAGGATATATTGAAAGAATTTGGCAGCAAAACCGCGGAAAGGATATTTGTAAATGTATAGTGGGTTGGGTTGATAGAGCAGCCTTAATTTTTTATGCTTGCTTTTCTTTACAATGCCCAATAGTGCAATAAATAGGAACAAAATTTTTGTAACGTTTGTATGTTCTAGTTCTTCATTATTTTTTAAATAAAATATTTATGATCTATGGCTATGGTTTTCTCAATCGAGTCAAGTATCTCTGAGTTGCTCAGTTGCATATAACTAGACATCCTCCGACACTTTTTTAAATTTTTTTCAAAACTTCTTTCAAAAATAAATTAAATAAACCGGTTTCAGGGTCACTTAAAAAACCCACTGCTTTGCATTAATTCGTACACAATTTTGCATGGGACTCCCATGATGGGAGGGACCTTTCGGACTCCATGGTCGCTGATTTTGGCCCCCCCCCCCCTACCGTTATTCACTTTTAACGTCACTGTAGGCCGCATCGCCGATCTTCCGATATAACATTCGATTAAAATTTGTCGGAACCGAAATCGGAATCGAAAGTCCAAAATCAATCGGAAGTTCCGCAGTTTCAAAGCGGACAATCAATAGATATACTTAAATATTCTGATGTAGACGGCTACGGCAAGAGATTTTGTATTGAGGACAAATGTTTGTTCGTGCAATCAAAATCAGAATTGGCAATTCGTACGTACAGGTCCACAGCACGTTTTGGGTGAACATTTCGACTATTGATCGAATTCGGCAATTGCGTACAACGTACAAAAACAATCCCTCTAGCTTTTATGGGTGTATTACACCTACACAATAAGATTTCGGACATCGGCGCAAGGCCTAAGTTAGTTGCCTTACCCTTCTGGTGGCGCTGTCTTATGTACCTACCTATACAATAAGAATATTATTTACGTTAATAAATTAAGTAGTGCGTAATGTGCAAAGCATTTTCTATGAGTAAACAATTTTTCTATCCACGTATAAGGGATTTCTATACTCATAGGTGCTTACACTTACATATAAATTAATGTTGTGGCACGGTGACTGCTTTAATAATTAACGACAAATCACAAAATTTATATTTATTATTCCCAGAAAAGTGTGCCATTGCCTACAATTCTCAGAATTGAGTAATGCATATGGTTATGTCCCAGATTTGATAGATCAGACTCAGATTTATTTGTGTCTATTACGTAGTTTTTACGTACTTTTTTACTGACCATGACCACCCACAAGCACAATTACAGTGTCCTTACCGTCCTGTCGCATTGTGCATTTTTACGCTAAATACGAGATCAATACACCACTTACATATTTTTGGTACTTTGTTTACAAATAATGAGCGAGGTCACTCAAGATTTATGTAAATTTTGTGAATTTAATTAATCGTTAGAGTAAGTAAACTAAACATAAAAGCAAGGTTTTCTCACAATTACAGCGTGTTTTCCGAGTTTAAGGTCATCTGACAAGTTTGTGGCACTGGGATATCCTTATCCAGTGAAATTCTCTTTTCGTCCAGTTCAGCGCGTGCCGCATCTTATTACACTTCGTATTAAAATATTGTGTTTGTGCGTACAAAGTTTGTTTTTTTTACAACATGAGTGGTGAGGATGCGTTCTGGAAAACTATTTCGGACAAATTAAAAAGACACAAATCTGTAGTAGAGAAGGATCATGAACAAAAGTAAGTTTTTGCATCATTTATTTTCGGAATAGGTAGATTAAATTCATCCGTTATCTACATACTTTATATTGCCATTCTCATATCGTTAGAGGTATAAAAGTCGTACCTATAGGTACCGACTCTTCACAGATTTCGTGTGTAATATCTACTGTGAATTGCTCAATTTGTTTTAAATGAAATTCAAGTAAGTCCGTATCATTGTAGACCGTATAATTTTCATAGTTCCGGTTCCGCAATATTTATTTAGAAAAATTAGAAAGAAGGAGAACATATATAACACTAAATTGAAACGAACATCATACAATACGTATTGCTTTTTTTGTAATGGCAGGGTATTTAAATTAATCATGGTTTAATTTGGGAACCGGTAACTTTACTTGTATTTAGATTGCAGAAGAATAAGGATGGGCGAAGATGACCTTAAAAATACACGTTTAACTGTACATACCTACTAGTACCATCCTCGTTACTATATTTACTATCTCGTTATTTTTATATCGAGTTTACTTACAGTTTTGAATATATTTATATTCAAAGTTTACAGGGTGTTCTCACCGCACATGAGAAATGTCCTGAAACAAATAATTTTAAAATGAGATCAATGGAATTAAAACAAGGACTCATCTTTACGCCTAATGAGTACAGTACAACCTCGTTAATCCGAATAGATTCGGACCACTGACCTTTCGGATTATCAAATTTTCGGATTATTGCGAAACTAGTGAAAATAATAAATTTGGACACATGCCTTAAGAAATAAACTTTATTCTTTTCAACAAAACATAAATTTAACAGACCAAGGACAGAAGTCAGTTAAATACTGCACGTAAAACAAAATTAAACTTTGTCCTTGTAAAAAAGCTTAAGTTAACATTCATATGTATTTATGAGTACAGTATGTACTATACACATAAATCTTTCGGACTATCGCGATTTCGGACTAGCGTGTATTCGGATTATCGAGGTTGTACTGTACTGAGTAGTGCCTAAAAGAATTAGGCGCTCTTTGCAAAAACTAAATACCTAATCTAAAAAATTGTTAATATGCATCTATACAAGGTGGTGACTTGCGTAACGCATCATAGGGATTTCAATGTAAAATTGCCATTAGTGGCTCCCCAAATTATTTTAGAGCAAAAATGTATTAAAGTTTTTTTACGCCAGTCAACCGTATTAAGGTGGGTTCATAGCTCTCCGTTCATCCGTTGCGTTGATCCGTCAAACGGATAGTACGTTTTGTTAAGGTTCATAGCAATCCGTCCACATTGTACATTTGCAAGTATAACCATAACCTAAACTTTATTTTGTAGTGTACCCTCCGTGATTTTCAGTATGTGAAAATGGTACGAAAGTAAGAACACATTGCTATCTGATTATTACCGTGAAGAACGAATAGGCGAACGCTGTTAACATACCAAACATAACCTCACTCTTGTTAAAAACGGACCAACGGAAACGTAAATGTTCAACTTCAACCAACTTTTCCGTCGTAAACGGACGACGTACGATTTAAAAATTTGCTGTCTTCTGATTGGCTAACGGACAAACGGAAACGTATGAACGGAGAGCTATGAACTTACCTTAAGTTTTCAATTTTTTTCATATCAAGACGAAAAATTGGAAAAATAAAACCCGCATCTTTTTCAATAATCTGGGATGCCATAGAATTTTGTAAAACAAAAAGATATCCAGTTATCAATTACCAGCAGTTCGAAATGGATTTTATGATCGACTTGGTTACTGTCTTGCAGTTAATGGTGACTTATTCGAAGATCTATTGTAAATTGTTATATTAAGAAATCGTTTTTAGTAATTTGGTCTTTCTTTA